CAGAGAGCAAAGACGCAGACAGGTGGGCGTGTCAGGTGTGTGTAACAGTGAGTGAGAGAAGGACCATCAACATGAAATGGCACAAGAAATATCTGTGGATTACGGCCAGCTGCTACCCTAACTTACTAGAAGATGACAGCAGCCCCCTAAGTGGATGCCCACCTCCAGTCTGGCCCTCCTCTAATCCATTCTCCAAACTTCAGCTGGACCACAATACCCCTCTAGTTAAAAAACCTTCAATGGCTCCCCACTGTCCTCAGCCTAATGTCCAAATTCCCTAACACAATTTATAAGGCCCAGTGGGACCTGGCCTCTGGCACCTCTCCTGCCTCATCATTGCTCTGTTCTTGGGTCCTACACCTCCCCCTTGCCCCATGTGCACCCCCTTACTGAATGACCTGAGTCTCTCTCTTCCAGGCTTCTCAAACACTATTTCCTCTCCCGGAAGCATCCTCCCTTCTACCCTGCCCACTCCCTCAATGACTGATAACAACCACCAACCACTCACGCTTTAGGCCGCCAATTAAATGGGCAACTGCCTACAAAGGATGCTCCTGACTCCCTAGCTGGGGTTAAAGGGCCCTCCTCTGTGCTCCCAAACTAGACGGATGGGAACAGAATCTGGAGTGCTCTGAAGGCCTGGAAGAACTTAGACTTGACCTAATGGGTGCCTAGGACTCACTATGAGTGTGATACAGTGAGCATGATATTCTAAGAAAATGAATCTGGCAATATTGTACTCCAAGCTCTAAAAATAATCAGCGCTATCTCAGGCAAAAGTTGAATATACCAAGAGTAGGTGAGCATCTGTCTGCTGGGTACACATTCCTCTTCTCTTTGGGTAATAACCCCTGATTTTCCCACGGGGAACCACCTCTTTCTCTCATTCTCTGTCCACTTGCTTAGGAGGAGTTGATGCTACCCTGGTCCCAGGGAAGGACCAATTAGAGCATCCCCTGCCCCTTGCCACAGTGACTAGCTCAGGGACGGGCATGAGACCCCAGGCTGGCCAACAATACTCACTTCTGGACTTCTGCTGGCATTAAGAAAAGAAGCTCTCTTTTTCCCAGGGATTGCTAAGCTGATACGATGTCAGCCTGGAGCCTGCTGAGAATGACACCAACACAGAAGAAAGCAGAGACAAGTGGGAAGAGGCAGATCCTGACAGCTTCGTCTCAACACCTGGACTGAGCCTGGCCTAGCTAGGACAGACAGGTCAGTGACAGGAGCCAATCAATTCCATCCGGGGCTGAAAGCTATTCCAGCTGCATTTCTGTCACTCACAACCAAGAATCTTGACCCGCATACAAAGGCAATCAGAATTAAGGCAACAACGCAACACAACACCAAAAAGTTCTATCAGTTTGTGGAGGCACGGCTCCTGGTCCAGGTGATGTTTTAGTATCAATCAAACAACTCCATCAGTAAAGGTTCAGCTTGGTGGTGGGCATCTGATAGTCATGTCACAGCCTCACCACTGGTCTGGACAACAAACCACCCGTGATGAGTAGCAAATAACCTCTCACCATTTCAATCTACCTCAAATAAATAGGTAACTCGGTTCGAAAAACAAAGACCACAGGTACACAGTTTTCCATTATTTAGCAAAAGTAAAACCCTGTCTGGCAGGAAAATTCCTTTCCAGTCTGAAAGCTGGGATTGTTATGAACAATAATGTGGTTCAAAAAGGATTTCTAGCTCTCTGTACTATCTTCTCAATTTTTCTGTAAATCTCAAACTATTCTTAAAAATAAAGTCTATTAAAAAAGGGAGAGGGTTCCCAGATGCTTTGTGTGCCAAAAAAAAAAAAAAAAAAATTGTCAATTCTGAATTCTTTTAAATATCTTAACCTTTCCTCTCCAGCCACACTGCCCTAGGTCTCGACAAGAGCGTAGTAGGAACGGTCACTTGTCACTGTTAGGGTGACCAATTTGTACTGGTTGTCCAGGACTTTCCCAGTTTTAGCACTGAAAGTCTCATATCCTGGGAAACCCCTCAGTCCCAGGCACACCAAGACAGTTGGTCCCCCTACATGTCAGAGGAAGCCCAAGCCCCGTTCTACCTCTAGCCTTGTTTCCCACAACCACCAGCCCTACTTTGACACTCTACAAACTCCAGGGTCCCCCTCCACTGCCCCACACGGTGGCTCTTGCTCATTCTTGAAGACTCTGCTCTGATGTTGCCTCCCCCAGAAAGCTTCCATGAAGGGTTCCCACAGAACCCTGGGCCTACAACGTCTCCAGCACTTGTCATGTTCTATAGTCACTGGCTCTAGGGCTGTCTCCCTCACCAGCCTGAGAACTCCCTCAGGGAATGAGCAGTCCTGTACCCAAGGCCCATGATGTTCACTATCAGAGCCAAGCAAAGGGCATCACAAGCATTGGGGTGGACACTAGTTGCTCATGGCTAGTCACTTTGGGATCTTCTAAGCCCCACACCATACACAAATTGCCAGGTTCTTCAGGCTGTAACATGGATTAAGCTGATCTGCCTGATCCAGGGCAGGCAGCTTGGGTTTCCAAAAAGCACCCAACAGCCGTACGACCTAAACAATGAACATGGGCAGCTCCCAGATACTACAAGGGAACCTGAGAACCTTTACCATTCCCTGGCTGGCCAGATGGCAAAGATGTCCCATTGGGCAGTGAGACTCCCAAGAAAGTCTTCCCAAACTGACCTATAGGGAAGTTTTATTCAAAAAGACAGAGTAATGAGTGTAAGCACCCAAGTCAAATCCTGACTTTGACACTTCTCAGCTGTTGTCACCTTGAGGCAAGCGATAACCTCTCTGAACCTTAGTTTCCACTTCTATAAAATGGAAGCAATAATAGCTCCTCTAACTCATAGACTTGTGAGGACTAAAGGAAATAACACACAAGAAGTCCTTAGCAAGTACCTGGCACAGAAAATGTGTTTAATAAATATTAAAGGAATTTAAAAGGGCTAGAGTCAGGCAGAGTTAGGTGAGGGCCTGCAGACACCTGGATGCTGGCAGAAGGCCCAACCTCCTCTAGATAACCTTCCTTCCCTTCTCAGCCATATCCACCCACTCTCTAAATTCCTGAAATCCTTAAGCCTCTCCCTTTCCCGTCCAGCTGCCCTCCCATTTAAGATTCCTGCCTCCCTACACACCCCTAGCCTTGTGCTGGGCCTCTCTCCTCCCCATGTCTTCTCTCACCACTACCACCCAAAACCATCCCTCACCACACAATGTGCCCTGCTGCCCTCTACTCTGTGAGACCCACAAACATTAAATGCCTGCTCCATACTAGGAAAAACACAGCTGAGAGTCACCCCACCCCCAACCCCAGCCAAATGAGAAGCCTCCATCTAATTTTTCTCCCACCAATCCTTTCCGTGAGCCCCTGTCTTCCTCCTACTGTTCCCCACCTCCCCCCTCGACCCCTCTTTCTTCCCATTAGTAATCTTGGGATCTCCTTCTGGAAACCAGACAATTTCTCACCACCAAAGGTTTGCCTACTCCCCCACTCATGTCTCCCCCGCCCCCGCCACTCTACTTCCCTCCCTGAAGTCATCCCCTCCTCAAAAGTCTCTATTTTCCATCATCTCCCTCCACCCCAAAATCCTAGGCCTTGCCTGCATGCGCTGCACCTCTCCCCAATTCACTCAATTTTTTCATTCTTTAAGTATCCATTGAGGGCCGGCCCCGTGGCTTAGCAGTTAAGTGCGCACGCTCCGCTGCTGGCGGCCTGGGTTCGGATCCCGGGCATGCACTGACGCACTGCTTCTCCGGCCATGCTGAGGCCGCGTCCCGCATACAGCAACTAGAGGGATGTGCAGCTATGACATACAACTATCTGCTGGGGCTTTGGGGGAAAAACAAATAAATAAAATTAAAAAAAAAAAAAAAAGTATCCATTGAGCTTCTATTGCTGCCAGGCACAGCACTAGATGCCGGGAATACAGCTGTGAGCAAAACAAGCAGCCTCTGCCCTCCTGGAAGTACCAGTTTCCTAACAGACAGAAAAGTAGTAAAAACAAACAGGATACTTACAGATAGTGGAGATGCACCGAATGAAATCAAGAGAAAGATCTGACGGAAAGGAATTGGGGTACAGAAGCACTTTAGGTCTGGTGACCTGGGAAGGCCCTGCCTAGGTGATTAACACAGCTGCCTCTATTGGCCACCTACTGTGTAACACACACTGGAGCAATTGCTTTCCACGCGTGACATTACTGAATCCTTGCACAATGTTCACCATCCCCATTTGCAGACAGGGAACCAGAGGCTCAGAGAGGTGAAGTAATTTGTCCAAGGTCACACAACCATTAAGAGGTGGAATCGGAATTTGAATGCGGGTCTGACTGCAAAGCCACTCTATGCACTCTTGCCTCCCAGGCCCCCACTTGCCACCGGTCCTGCCCCAGAGCTCTACTTCTGACAGTCCCTCTTTAGACTCTCCCAAGAATATAATCTGTCTTTAATTATTGCCCTTTATTGAGCACTTGTGTGTGCTCCCAGCTTTATGTGCATTCTCTTATCCAACCCTCAAAACAATCACAGGAAGTAGATGCCAGTCACAATATCCATTTTACAACTGAGGAAACTGAGGCCTAAATTCACACACTTAGATTCGAACCCAGATCTGTCCAACTCCAGGTTCCAGACCTCTGACTCTTAAGCTGTCCAGCCTAAGAAGTACCACCCTGGGAAGCTTGGTGCCCACCGTCTGCCTCCGGCAAGAAGGAAGTTTGCGTCCATAAACTGAAATTTCATCTCCTTACTTTACAGACGGGGCTAGTAAGACTCTGAGAAGCTAAGCGAGTTGCCCAAGGTCACACAGCGAGGAGCTACCGCGTCAGAGTTCGAACCCAGGCACCCTCAGAGCCCTCGCTCTTAATCACCATACAGCCTTTCCCAGGCGTCTCTCCGCCCTCCACCTCCGCTCTCACGCCTCCCAGCCCCCGGCCCGGGGCTATGCGCCCCCACCCCCATGTCCAGCCCCGCGGCCTCCCCCCTCCATCCCCAACACACTCACTTGAGGTGGTCCAAGGAGTGGATGTTGCGGGAAGACTTGCCATGGCCCCCGCCCACCCAGCTCCGCGAGCGGCCAAACATGTCGGCGGCCCCGGCCCGTCGCTCGCCTCACGGTCTCATGCTCAAGCGGCCCAGCGGCCGGGCGGCGGCGACCGCAGCACAAGCCGAGGCGGCAGCCGCGGAGGTGGTGGAGGGACCGCCCGCCACCTTCCTCCTCAGCCCACAGCCCCGCACTGACATTCAGCCGGAACCGGCCGTTCGACCGCCGCGCTTTACGGCCGCCGCCACGAGGAACGCTGGGAAATGCAGTTCGCCGGCGAGGCCCCCGCGGACAGGACTCTGCGAACGAACTACAAAGCCCGGCGTGCCTCACGAAACAGCGGGCCTTCGGGCTCCGAGAAGAGGCGGAGCGAGAGGAGGAGAGTCCGCAGTATCGTCCGGGTGGGCGGGAATGGGAAACCTAGGGGCGGAGCCCTGAGGAGGGAATCGGTGAAGATGGGTGGATAAAAGTAACTTCAGTATTAACAATTATTAGCTTTATGACAAGAATAAGAATAGCTATTGCATAGCGTATACTATGTGCCACTACCCTAAGCGCTTTATATATTTTGAGTTATTTAATTCTCCCAACAGCCCCATGAAGTGGGTACTATTATTATCCCCATTTTACCGTGAAGGAAACTGAATCACAGAGGGGTTGACTTGCCCAAGATCATGCAGAACCAGAGTTCAAACCCAGGCACCCTTATTTTTATCCCCCAATAAACTAAACTGCATCAAATCGGTAACAGCCTTGTTTGTCCTCACAGCCTTTTTCTTTTTCCATTTCGATTAAAAAATATATATGGAAAGGCCTTCAAGCAACAGTGTACCAAAACTGAACGTCCTGTACTTTCAGAGGATTTCTCTGGTCTTCACCCAAAACATGCCATTTCCAAAACAACGACATTAAAAAAAAAAAAGAAATGCTCAACTTCCTACATGAACCAAGAAGAAGTATCTAAATTTCTCTTCTGGATTAGGAGTGGGAACCTCGTGTGGAGGCAAAACTGCCCTGTTCACCATTCATTCATTCATGCGTTCCTATACATAGTTGTCTAAGGCCTATCGTGTCCCTTTTACTGTGCTCAGGACAGAATTGGGCTAAGGGCCAATGTTCCCCCCAATGCCTAGCACAAGGCTTGGCGCATACTAGGTATTCGACAAATGTTGGCAGAGTAAATGAGTAAATGAAGGTTTGTTTCACCTTCTGCAGTTGGAGAAATGGAGACCAGTGAAGGGTTAATGGTTTGCTCTGTGATTTATCTAAGGGGCAAGAGACCGTCATGGAGAAAAAAGGGCAGGTTCTGGCCTCCAAACACAGGCAGGCTGCCAAGGTCCCTCCGGTCCTCTGGGCCTTGGTTTTCTCTTCTGTAAAAAGGGGTAACATATTATGCTGCCTTGTCTGGCTCCAATTAAGCTATGCATACAAAGCACCCAGCCCAGTGTGGCCTGAGATTTAAAGGTTTGTTCAACTGCTTTGCAAGGTGCTTTGGGCAGGGTCAGTCTCCTGAAGGATGTATAGGGTTGCCCATGAGGAGGGGAATCAGCGAGTGGAAGAGAGACTCACTCTTCTGTGTACTTCTTGGTTGAATGTTTAACCATGGGCATTACTGTTGTTTATAAACGTGGTTTACAAAGAAAAAAGGAAACAAGCAGCAGCCCTACTGGCCGAAGGTCTGATCTGCCTAGGAATCTCTTTACTCAGGTGTCCCTGAACCCCATAAATGCAGAAACCCCCCCAATGGGCAGACCTTCCAGCAGCCAGATTTTGGAGACGAAGGAGGCACTGATTGATGATCCCCAACATGAAAAATCGGCACTTTGGGAAAGTCCAAGATTTTCACTATTAAAATCCACCACCCCTCTCCTACTCCGCCTCCTTTTCAACTGGTAAACTGAGTCTCAAAGAGGCGTGGCGCCAAACACAAGTCCAGCAAGGTGCAGAGGAAGCTTGCTGTTTCCCTCAGCTTTTGTGGTCTCAGGATAAGTCTAGGTCTGAATTGCATTCTGTCTCTTTCCCCTCCCCCTACCCCGCGGGTCTCCGCAGAGCGAATTGGATTTGACATCCGGGCGGAGTCCCGAAGCAGGGAAGCAACTCAGAGGCCAGCGCCCCGAGGGGCGGAGCGAAGCGGTAGCCGCCCCCGGATGGCTCGGGCCAATGAGCGCGGGCGTTGAGCGGGCCAATGAGCGCGGGCGGGGGGCGGGGGGGCCAATGGGCGCGCGGCCGCTCGGGAGGCGGGGCTCGGAACGCGACCAGGAGGGCGACGCGGCGGCCGCAGCCATGGGCGCAGCGACTGCGGTGGTGTGGAGGGGTCTCGAGGAACGGCCGGGCCGGGCTGGGGACACGGCCGCCGGCACTGGCCCACGACGCTGAGCCGCGGTGGGGTCCCCGCCGGCGCCGTGAGGGCCCGTGAGTGCGAGCGGGGCGCATCGGAGGAGCCGGGCAGCGGCTCACCACCTTAGCGGGGCCCGCTTGGCCGCCGGGCGGATCGAGAGGGCCGTGTGGGCACATCTGGGGGTGCGGAGACCCCGCCAGGCGCGTTTAGGGGGCGGGGCGTGTCCGCAGGGGCCGCCGCCCATCCCCGGGGGGCACCGCCGGGGCCCAGCGCCGCCTGGGTCGAGCCAGGGGCGCCCCTGGATGGCTGAGCTGCCCCCTCGCCGGCCGGCCGGGCGCCGCAGCGGCTGAGCTCGCTGGGATCGCCGGGCCGCCGCCGCCCTCGCTGCCCCCTGCATGCTCGGCGCCCGGGTCGCGGCCCACCTGGACGCGCTGGGCCCCCTGGTCCCCTACGTGCCGCCGCCGCTGCTGCCCTCTATGTTCTTCGTGGGCCTGTTCTTCGTCAATGTGCTGATCCTGTACTACGCCTTCCTCATGGAGTACATCGTCCTCAACGTGGGCCTCGTCTTCCTGCCCGAGGACATGGACCAGGCGCTCGTGGACCTCGGCGTGCTCTCCGACCCCGGCTCGGTCCTCTACGACGCCGACTCGGAGCTCGACGTCTTCGATGGTTACTTGGACTAGGCTTGGCTGCCGTCCCCTCCCCACCCCCCAGCGACCCGCAGCCCTCCATCCGGACCAGCCGCCCGGATCATGCCGCCGCTTCTGGTTGGAGGCACCGTCTGGCCAGGGATGGAACCCCCAGGACGAGGCCCTCTCCAGTCTCCCAGGCCTGTGAGTGCCCTCTCTGCGCGGGATGAGGGCGGGTTGGGGCCCTGGCGAGGAAGAGGGAGACATCCCAAGGCTAGACACACACCCCTCCCCCAAGCGTCTGATTTCTGGGTCCACCTCCTCCGGGTCTATTTGGATGCTAAAAATGGCCAGGCTCCTCTGGGTCCCTTAGTTAGGGCTGGAAAGCTTCCCCCAGCGAAGGTGACAGCTGTTGAAGAGGGGAAGGGAGTCATGGCCTAAGTGGTGTTTGGGGTAGCCATGGTACCCACTGCCACCACTTCTGGAAAAAGCCTTTGTGCCCAAATCCATTTGAGGCAGAGCTGTCAGTTCCTCCCCCTGACCTCAGCCTGGCTTGATGGTGACCTCGGCCTTTTGGGGATTCTCACTAGTCCTGGAAGGGTGAAGACTTGGAGTGTCAGAAGAGGTAGGGAGCCAGGCACTGATCACCTTGTCCTGTGGCCCCTTGGGGGACTGGGTGGGGACTGAGAGCAAGGGCTCCCAGCCGAGGCTGTGAGAGGAGAGACCTCCTTCGGCAAAGAACGCTGTACTTCCTTTTGGCCTGGGGTTTGCTGCTATCTGGGAGTCGGGTTTCAGGATGCCCCTGGTTAGCAGTTCTGCATCTTGAATCTGCAGGGGTTGCCAGTTTTGCAGGCAGGTTGGTGCCGGGGCTGGCCTTGCTGCAGTGTTTGCAAGGCCTCAAGGGATTCTCGGGCCAGCAGAAGGGACCACAAGTCATTGCACTGAGGTGTTCACGTCCTGCCTCTGGGCTGCGACCAGGAAGCTGTGTGTCCAGCCTGACCTTGTGTGTTAGTGGGAAGGAAATAAAGGTCTAGGAAGGAGAAAGACCTGGCCAAAGTCACACCGCCAGGAAGAAAGGCCGCTGGACTGGAGGAGAGAGACAGAGACAGGCAGGCTGTCTGGTCTGGTGAGGGTTCGTGGGGCATGTGGGAACTCCTTGGCTGGAGCCCCTCAGCTGAACTGTGCTAGAGTGTCACTAGGCACAGGGCCCGAGTGGCAATGGAGGGGGGGATACTGAGGTGGTGGGCAAAGGCTCCTTTTGGAAAACGGACACTAATGCCACTCACCCCAAGCAGGCTGAGTTAACCTCTCTCCTCTGTTGCCTGTCGCAGCGGAGATGACCATAGTCAGAGGGTGATGCAGGGTGGGGCCGGATCTACTGGCAGTAGTGCTTGGGCCTGGGGGCTCCCCTGAGGGGTTGACAGTGAGATTTCTTTGAAGGAAGCTTCATTTTAGCTCAGCGAGACCTCAAGCAAGAGTCAGGTGCCAGGTGGAGCATGTGTCAGCTGCTCTGCGTGCCTGCTCCGTCTGCCTGTCTGCCTTCCATCCATCCATCCATCCGTTGATTGATCTGTTGTTGTTTTTTTTTTCTTTGAGGAAGATCATCCCTGAGCTAACATCCGTTGCCAATCCTTCTCTTTTTGCTGAGGAAGATTGGCCGTGGGCTAACATCTGTGCCCATTTTCCTCTATTTTATATGGGACGCCGCCACAGCATGGCTTGATGAGCGGTGCGTAGGTCCATGACTGGAATCCGAACCCCGGGCCGCCGAAGCAGAGCGCGTGCACTTAACCGCTACTCCACCAGGCCAGCCCCCCGATCTGTTGTTTTATTGAACAGATGTTTACTGAATACCTGCACTGCCTGCTGTGTGAACACAGTGAACAAGACAGATTCAGCCCCGGCCCTCCTGGCACTTGGTGAGAAAGATAAGCAGGTTCCCAAGCAAAATGATCAGATTTTTTTTGAGAGCTACGAAGGCATGGGAGAAGTATGTGGAAGAAGGACATGGGTGTCCCCTGTTGTGTTCACTGCTGTTTCCTCAGCACTTAGAACAGCACCAGGCGTCTCATAGATGCTCAATAAATGTCTGTGGAGTGAGTGAAACAGAAGAGGAGAGATGGGCTGCTTCAGATGGGGGATCAGAGAAGGCTTCTCTGGGGAGATGACACGTTTGAGCTGAGCCCTGAATTAATAGGAGGAGCCAGACATGAAGATCTGGAGAAGAGCAGTCCAGGCAGGGGAACCACTTGTGCCAAGGCCCCGGGGCAGGAGAGAGTTGGTTCTTCCAGCCCCTGAGAGGAGGCCAGTGTGGCTGGAGAGTGGCTTCAGGAAAGGTCAGTGGGGTGGGCAGGGCCCAGGGAGGCCACAGCCGTGAGCAATGCGAAGCCCTCAGAAAGTTTTAGGCAAGGAATGACATAATTCCAATTCACATTTTGCAAATTGACTGTGGCGATTGTGGGCATAGTGGGCTGTAGGGCAAATGTGGACGCAGGGAGGCCAGTTAGGAGCTGTTCAGTTGCTCAGGCCAGAGGTGACAGAGACTTGGATGAGCCAAAGTTAGTGAAGATAGAGAAACACGAACAGACCAAGAACATCTTTGGAAGGCGGAACCTATGGGATTGAAAACCAGTTCTGAGTATTGATCATATACCACACCTGGTTCTAGGCCCTTTGCATATTCACTCCTTCAGTCATTCGACAAATGTTAGCCCTGCCTGCTCTTGTGCCACGTCTGTGCTAGGCCCTGGGCATCCCAGGATGAATCCCTGCCCTCAGGCCAAGCGCCTGACTTTCAGACAGTGTAACTCGGTGAAGAATGTCTTATTTTATCTCTTCACCACATCAACAGAAACACTTCCTCTTCCAAATGAAAACATTGGCATACTCTGAACCAGAAACTGAAGCCCAAATGCTGCGACATACGTTGCAGCAAACGTTTGAGCAGAAACACCAGGAAGTGTGTCTCAGGGACACCCTTGCAAAGCTTTCAGAGTGACAGGGCCTGACCCTGGGCCGAGGGGAGCTGGGCTGTGGGAAAAGCTCGTCCTGGAGAAATGCTGGAAGCCATGCACAGCATTCCTTCTTTCCCACTCCCAAATCCAAGCTAGGGTGGCCGTGGCCCCGAGGACAGGGGAAGCCCAGACTCCGGCGGGGAGGGGTTGCTGGGAGCAGGAAAAGCCTTTGATAAAGATTAAAGATGACCTGGCTGTACCTGGCCCCCCTTTCCATAAACAGAGGAACGCCAGTAGTCAGATCTTGCTCTTTCTTGCTCCTTCTCTCGTGGACACGATGTCATGTTACATACAAGCCAGTCCAGGGAACACCACTAAGGGGACAGGCATGCCAGGCAGTGGGACCAGGGTGGATTCAAGACGGAAGATGCATGCACTTTTGCGCCCTCTCTTTCTCTTTCCTTCTTCTCTTGTGTGTGTACCCCCATAATTCAGTTCCTCACACATTTGTTGAGCACCTGTTTAAGGAGGCAGGATTAGGAGCAAGGACCTGAGATTCAGATGACCTGGGTTCAAATCTAGCTGTGACCTTGGATTTTTTTTTTTTTTTTTTTGTGAGGAGATCAGCCCTGCACTAACATCTGCCAATCCTCCTCTTTTTTTGCTGAGGAAGACTGGCTCTGGGCTAACCTCCGTGCCCATCTTCCTCCACTTTATATGGGACGCCGCCACAGCATGGCTTGCGAAGCGGTGCCTTGGTGTGCGCCCGGGATCCGAACCGGCGAACCCCAGGCCGCCGCAGCGGAGCCCGCACACTTAACCACTTGCGCCACTGGGCTGGCCCCAGCTGTGACCTTGGGCTTGCTGCGTACCTCCCTGTGCGTCAGACTCCTCTTCTTTGAAGCAGGGATGATGAAAATCTACCTCGTGGTAAGGATTATATGAGATATATGTAACACTGGTAGATCTTCCTGTGCACAGTAAGTGATATATTAAAATGAACCGCTATTATTGTTGTCAGATATAATGGGAAGCGTGTACCCTCAGCCCTTGCGAATGTGTAAGCTGGCACATACGCTCATGCATGAATATTTATACCCCACGAGGAGCAGAAGAGGCCTGGCTGCCTGAGTGTTGGGTAGGTCCAGGTCTAGACTCCTGGGACAGGCTTCCCATGCTGCCTTCCTGGCCCAGGACCCTCGGGAGACCTTTTTCACTGCCCTGTGGTCTCCAGAGGCCACCAGAGCTGGAGCTGGGAGAGCCGTGGCTCTGCACTTTTCCTAGAATGTTAATCTTCGCCCGGGAGTGGGGAGTCAGGAGCACCCTCCTTCCCAGGAGAGAGGGCCGCTGCGGCTGGCCTGAGCCGGGAGACGTCTCCCGTCCCAGCAGTGCCCATGTGGAGGCAGCTCAGCTGGTTGATTTGTTCTGGTTGCTGATGAAAGCGGCTGGCACCTGCCAGCCCTCCCTTGGCTCAGAGGGAGGGCTGGGAGAGAGGAGCTTCTCTGGACTGGAAATGGAGAGAGTGTGGCTGCCAGAGTCAGTGTGGCCTAGTGGAGCTCAGATTTGGAGCTAAGGGTAACCAGACCCATCCGTCTACTTATTATGGGGTTTCCCAGGCTTCAGTCTCCCAAGTGGGTGCACAGCTGCTCCTTCCTGATCTACCTGCCCTGGTCCCTCTGTGCCAGTCAGTGGCCTGTGCCATCAGCAGAACAGCCAGGCTGGGCATATCACTGCCCTGCTTAGAAACCCAAACCTTCCTCGGGGACACAGGTACGATAGATTGAGGTCATGGGAGATCCTACAGGCAGCCGGGAGAGCTCCAGGCAGGGGGCAGGGGAACCAGGTAGGGGTCTGTGGCTGTCATCCGGGCAAGAGACAGGTGATGGTGGCGAGGGGAGGCAGGTGCACCTCCAGGCCTGGCTGACTCTCCAGCTCTGTCCTGACAAGAGGCTCACCTGGAAGGGTGCTGGCCACAGGTGCATCAGTGCTGGCTGCCCCTTTGGACAGGAGAAGACCCCGGTATGTGTCTCCAGACAGCTGAGATGCTGGGGGTCCCGCTCCCTTGTCCCTGCATTATGCAATTGGAGAATTCATCCAAGGGACACCCTCCAGCCCTGGTGTCTGTTTTTACTGAACTAAGAAATTAAGGGCTCCTGTCAATGTGACCATTCGTATTCCTGGTTTATCTGCTATCTTTCCCCCTGGGACTTCTGAAAACATATATGGGACTTCTGAAAACACAGTCTGCTT